ATCCATCCATCCATCCATCCATCCATCCATCCATCCATCCATCCATCCGTCCCTCCATCCATCCATCCATCCACCCATCCATCCATCCATTCATCTCTCCATCCATCCATCCATCCATCCATCCATCCATCCATCCGTCCGTCCCTCCATCCATCCATCCATCCATCCATCCATCCATCCATCCATCCATCCATCCATCCATCCATCCATCCATCCATCCATCCATCCATCCATCCATCCATCCATCCATCCATCCATCCATCCATCCATCCATCCATCCATCCATCCATCCATCCATCCATCCATCCATCCATCCATCCATCCATCCATCCATCCATCCATCCATCCATCCATCCATCCATCCATCCATCCATCCATCCATCCATCCATCCATCCATCCATCCATCCATCTATCCATCTCCTCATCCATCCATCCATCCATCTCCTCATCCCTCCTTCCATCCATCCATCCATCCATCCATCCATCCATCCATCCACTCCTTCCCCACAGCTCAGCTCCATCTCCCCTCTTTCAGGGTCAAACCCTTCCCCCTCCTCCTAGGGCTCCCCTCCCTGATCCAGAGTCCCCCCCATCTCTCCTGGAGTCCCTTGAGGGACTGGAAGGGGCTCCAAGGTCTCCCTGGAGCCTTCTCTTCTCCAGGCTGAACACCCCCAGCTCCCTCAGCCTCTCCTCACGAGACTTGTGCTCCAGACCCCTCACCAGTACACAGCTGGACTTGCACCAGTTCAGGGCTTTTGTGACCTTCAGTCGCCTCCCTCTTTGTGTTCACATGCGAGAAATGTTGCATAAACCTCTTCAAACCTGCTTTTTTGGCAGAAAGGTTGACTCATGGGCTGGAAATGTGGCATGTCTCTCTCATCCTCCCCCTGCCCCTCCATCCCTCCATCTCTCCCTTCATCCCTCCCTCTGTCTTTCCATCCCTCCTTTCCTCCTTCCATCCATCCATCCCTCCATCCATCCATCTCTCCCTCTCTTCCTCCCTCCCTCCTTCCATCCATCTCCCCCTCTCTCTCTCCATCTCTCCATCTCTCCTTCGTCCACCTTCCTTCTCTCCCTCCCTCCTTCCCTCCATCCATCCCTCCATCCATCGATCCATCCCTCCCTCTCTCCCTCCATCCATCCCTCCATCACTTCCTCCATCCCTCCTCCCCTTTCTCCATCCATCCCTCCCTTTCTCCATCCCTCCTTCCCTTTCTCCATCCCTTCCTTTCTCCATCCATCCTTCCCTTTCTCTCTCTCTTTCTCCATCCCTCCATCCATCCCTCCCTTTCTTCATCTCTCCATCCCTCCCTCCATCCTTTCTCTTCCTCCATCCATCCCTCCATCCCTCCCTTTCTTTATCCCTTCATCCATCCTTCTCTTCCTCCATCCATCCCTCCATCCCTCCCTTTCTCCATCCCTCCATCCCTCCCTCCATCCTTTCTCTTCCTCCATCCATCCCTCCATCCCTCCCTTTCTCCATCCCTCCATCCATCCTTCTCTTCCTCCCTCCATCCATCCTTCTCTTCCTTCCTCCACCCCTCCCTCCATCCATCCCTCCAACCCTCCTTCCCTCCATCTATCCCTCCATCTGTACCTTCATCCCTCCTCCATCCATCCCTCCTTCCATCCATCCATCCATCCATCCATCCATCCATCCATCCACTCCTTCCCCACAGCTCAGCTCCATCTCCCCTCTTTCAGGGTCAAACCCTTCCCCCTCCTCCTAGGGCTCCCCTCCCTGATCCAGAGTCCCCCCCATCTCTCCTGGAGTCCCTTGAGGGACTGGAAGGGGCTCCAAGGTCTCCCTGGAGCCTTCTCTTCTCCAGGCTGAACACCCCCAGCTCCCTCAGCCTCTCCTCACGAGACTTGTGCTCCAGACCCCTCACCAGTACACAGCTGGACTTGCACCAGTTCAGGGCTTTTGTGACCTTCAGTCGCCTCCCTCTTTGTGTTCACATGCGAGAAATGTTGCATAAACCTCTTCAAACCTGCTTTTTTGGCAGAAAGGTTGACTCATGGGCTGGAAATGTGGCATGTCTCTCTCATCCTCCCCCTGCCCCTCCATCCCTCCATCTCTCCCTTCATCCCTCCCTCTGTCTTTCCATCCCTCCTTTCCTCCTTCCATCCATCCATCCCTCCATCCATCCATCTCTCCCTCTCTTCCTCCCTCCCTCCTTCCATCCATCTCCCCCTCTCTCTCTCCATCTCTCCATCTCTCCTTCGTCCACCTTCCTTCTCTCCCTCCCTCCTTCCCTCCATCCATCCCTCCATCCATCGATCCATCCCTCCCTCTCTCCCTCCATCCATCCCTCCATCACTTCCTCCATCCCTCCTCCCCTTTCTCCATCCATCCCTCCCTTTCTCCATCCCTCCTTCCCTTTCTCCATCCCTTCCTTTCTCCATCCATCCTTCCCTTTCTCTCTCTCTTTCTCCATCCCTCCATCCATCCCTCCCTTTCTTCATCTCTCCATCCATCCTTCTCTTCCTCCCTCCATCCATCCTTCCTCCCTCCCTTCATTCCTCCCTTTCTCCATCCCTCCAACCCTCCTTCGCTCCATCTATCCCTCCTCCATCCATCCCTCCATCCGTCCCTCCATCCCTCCCTCCCTTCAGCCCTTCCTCCCTCCATTCCTCCTCCATCCATCCATCCCTCCCTCCCTTCAGCCCTTCCTCCCTCCATCCCTCCTCCATCC